GACGTAGAGCAAACGGCTTTTTCCGCCGGCTACGGTTGCCGTGAGCACGTGCCGGCGTGACCGTTTCCCGAGTTCGTGTCCTTCTTAAAACGGCATGGTTTACGACATTTTCTGGCTTCATCCCCGTAAGTGTTATGAAACCAGCACCATTCAGGGTTTTCCACCCTGTTGGGTTTCGTTTTAGGGCTACCACGCGACTTGCTGCGATGCGCCAAGGTGCGTTTCTGTGAAGTGCTACGTGATCTAGGACTTCGAGATCGTAGCAACCGTTTCACAGAGTTGCACAACTTGGTCACCTCCGAATCCTGGCGCTCTGTTTTGTCACAGATAGAATATACGTTGGAGACGGGTCTGCTGGATATCTCCAGTATTTTATCTGCTGAAGCTGCCAGGTCGTCGAGTGGGACTGACTGGAGTGTCACCAACACGGTTTGCACCGGTTGTGGTAGTTTCGAGAGAAATAGTTCTCGGAAGAAACCATCGTCAAATGTTCGTGCACCGATTACTTCTCGCATGCGTGCGAGGACTTCAGTAGCTGAGTGGCTGCCTAGCTCGATGTTACGAAGCAATTCGTCTAGACGTTGGCGATCTGTGAGATCGCTTTTCTTCAAGAGTGCAGCCTTTAGAAGTGCATAAGGGTCACTTACTTCAGGATTAAACATGTTTGCTGTAACAACCTGTTTAATTCTCGCGGTAGTGAACGTATGACGGCAAGAAATCGAGATGAGGATCTGAGACACCCTGTTCTCGAAAATCGGCCTCGGCATACAGAAACCATGTTTCTGCATTGTCTGGCCAATATGGCACGAGTTGGATCGTGTTCGAGGTCGGCTTAATACGAATAAGCTTGGGAGTGTGGTCGGACATGAGAAAGTGTAGTAAATGGATATATAAATGTTATCGAAATGAAAACAATAAACAAATATAAAATGGAACAGGCTCACCAATTCAATACTTGCTATTGGTCGGGATATGTGATCACGTCGGGCTCACCAATTTAGGATTTGTCCTGGTGCGAACTTGACAGACGCAAAGACCAATCACTAATTATTCGAACTTGTTATATACCCACGAATACGAGACCAAGGAAGAACACGATAGCGTAGTCGGATGGAATAGTATATTTGGATGGTTATGCCAAAATACCGATGCGTTCCAACTAACTGGCTAGAGAGTCGAATACGAGCAATGCAACGTAACACGACAGCGTGCCAAATGGCGAGGATGCTTGACCGGATGCCTTCAGCTTAGCGAGTCCAGTTAAACTATCAAGGTCAGCATCAATGTCGAAGTCGTCAAACCCTAGGCTATTGATTTTGGGGAAGTGTATGACGCTACAATCTTTTCACCACAATGGATGCCCTGTACATTCGTCCTCATTCAGAAAAAAATTCGCTTGTAATGTCTCCATACCTGAAAAAGGACATTGCGATCCTAGAACGGGTACAGAGAAGAGCTACAGAGAAAGTGATAATGTTACGGCACAAACCGTACCCAGACCGCTTAGTTGCTCTTCAGCTGCACCCAGTACAATACCGGAGGATGAGGGGGGATATGATCATGATGTACCACATCACGCATAATCCCCTCCATCCTAACGGATCCCTTCCAAGCTTTAGTCGGAAACGCGACCTGACGGGTCACCTGTTAAGAGTAGAACGCGAGAGAGCACGTACAAAGATCCGTGCTAACTAATTTGCGGTTAGAATTTGTCAACTGTAGAACTCCCCCTCCCCACCCTTCAGCAGTTGTTACAGCCCCATCCCCCGATACTTTAAAAGGGGGTTGGACACACACCTCGAGTCCTACGGTGCCAATGTGCTGTACTCGAGAAACTTTCCCCAGATCAGATGCAGTAATAATACCTTGAGACCAGATTAATTAATTAATCGTATCCCTATCCTTTCGGGTTTTACAGAACCGGGAAAGTAATTGTGACCATTCAAAACTCAGAACGTGTTCCAATCAGAGAGACATGGAACCCAAGGAACCGCAGTTCGCTAATTCTACAACACGAAGTAACAAAGAAAGTAAAGAAGAGCACGATTAAATATGAGAAACCCGCTTCACCTATGTGGCTCAATGCCGATTGGGGACAGAAGCCAGCCAAATTCGATTTGGGGATAGCTTAAAGTAACACTAATCGTTTTGATTATCCCTTGACGGGTGATTCTAAAGACCACCTTGATATCCACTGAGTAACCAGTTAAGTTTCATTTTTTTTGGTGAAAAAGGAATCTTTGTGCAAATAAGGAAACCTTATTGGCTATATGATACTGCAGTATGTACCTTGTAGGATACAATGGTTATTGTAATGACTATAGTAGTTAGGATTACCTTTAAATTCACTAGCACCTAACTTTATGTATTACTTTGCATTATTTGTCAACTCTGCTTACTTTAAAGCTGTTCATATTGTACCGAAGTCAGGAGGGAACTGGTCGTACTAGGCTAAAACCGAATCTTATCGTGCACATCGATTCCCACCTACGTCGGTGAAAATTCACATTGATGATTCCAACTTTTTCTTTAACACGTTTGAATTAAAAGAAAATAGCATCCCCAACTAATTGGTTAGACGAAAATTAATCAGCCAGTAGACCATCTTCTCAGCGTCAGTACTGAAACAGGTGTACGTGCTAATAGCCTAATAGTTGCACTTTCCTACTTCACACTAATTAGTTCCAACTTATTCCTCTTATTCTCAATACTACCAGCAGCTTTTCATAATACAATAATGGTTGCTCGAGCTGTCCATGCAAGCCTGAAGTCATTGACTTCTGAAATTTCTGCTGCTTATTAGGATATCCATTTCCACATATATTGTTGAGACTCCTGTTCCCTCGAGGTCTTACCACATTAGAAACGTCTGTTGGATAATGGTTAGACGAAATATACATACCGTTATGGTGTAAATCGCTACGCTATGATGGGGGTTCGAGGGTGAAGTGGTACTGCTGACTGGACGGGTCTGACAGCAATAAGGTGTTTCCCTTGGATGACCAGTAATGCAAAGCCGCTTCTGCCTTCCCTATAGGGGTGGGGATTATAAAAGGTTAGATCTTAAAATAGAACAATCCCGTTGCTCTTGGCATGCCAATGCCTGCGACAGGGATTTATAGTCGGATTCCAAACCGAAACAACAAAATTTGAAACTTGCAAATGGCCTTGTATGACCGGCGTCAAGCGCGTATTCTATCAGCCATGCGGTTACATACGATTCCTTTCTTTTTAGATACCTCAAGATGAAATAGCCTTCCATGGTGTGGGCTACCAGAAAGTGTTAACCGCTCGCTCACTCCCAACAATATGCCAGATTCAATCAAATATTACCTATCCTCTTTACCCCTGTCTTCTCCCCCGCTTTCACCTCCTGATACCAATATTAAGCACCTTACAACTTCCTCAACCTTTTACTCTGGTAACATCACCAACGACCCAAGACATCGAGACATTATTCTTAGTCTCCTGAGACTCCCTGTCGGTTTCATATTGGACCTTCCAACGTTCGAACTCTGCCAAATCGGACAGCAACCATCGCTCGCCAGAAATTTGGAATGTCTAGCCATGGATGGATGCTGTGGCTCTTAAGACGCGTAGATAGGTCCTGAGTGTGTGGTTATTTATCTGATCTCATCTGGCCATTGCAGTGAATATTCAAACTGCACCCAACGGGTATCCCGAGGCCCAGTTCTGAAGGACTCGCTGATGTAGGCAGAGCATCGATCTGGGTAGAAAGTGCGCTTCTCGACTGGATACGAGTCAATAGCCGTTTATTTAATCGACTGAATGGATCTGTAAGGACTAGGAAGGATCGTGAGACCAACTGATGCCTGTTGGTAATTTCAGCCTATGCTCCCACAGACTATTTCGGATGGCATTGGGAAGGAATTCTGTGAGAAGGTATCAACTTTGATACAGAAAGGTAAACGTTCAGATGTGGTCATAGTGGCAGGTGACTAAGGCTGAGTCAATCGTAAAGGCATATGGGGGTATTTACAGAATCGCATGCCAACAAACTAACAACGGTGATCGCCTGTTGCAATTTTGTCACGACAATCACTTGTTCATGGTCAGCATTAACTTTAAGCATAAGGAAATACACCGTATCATATGGCTTACGCCGACATCAAACCAACAGTGGACACATATAAATCATATTACTATAAGTCATCGTCGAAGAGGATCGGTGGGGGATTGACACCCTTTCTGGAGTACCACATTGGACTCCGATCACACTAGTATGAGCTCGTGTATGCCTGCGGATTACTAATCGAGGTTAACAAGATAGTGAGGCCCATTTGTGCTCGATAGGTAGATTAAGACGCAAAGTACTCATCTACAGAGGAGTCAGTTAAGAATTTGACTGAACATGACAATAATACTCATGCTGAGGAAACCAGTCATGACGTCACGTCTACCGTAGAAAGAGCTGTGAAAGCAGTTGGTAACCTACATCTCAAGGTTAGGATTTCTGTAACGTCACTCGAACTGATTGGTGCGAGAAGACTGATCCCAGCAGGCTCTGACCATGATGAGGACTAAAAGCAACTGAAATGTAAATTGACCAGGAGTCTTCGCATCAGTCGCGAACAGTTGTGGTTGAGGAAAGCGAGAGAGATGGAGAAGGCATCATCGTTGGTTAACATTCGGCAACTACTAAGGCTTATTAAGGATACTGGCTAGAAGAAGACGCTAGTTAGTGAATGTATCACCGAAAAGGATAGTACCTTGATAACCTCCCAGGACTAACGGCTAGAATGTACATTGCTAATCAAAATTGTTTCATCAGGTGTGCATTTTCTAAACAAAACACCAACAGTCCTTAATGCTAGTATGATAAAGTTTTCCAATAACCCACTTATATTGATTCTTTCTGAACACGAAAGAAATTTCTTTCACTTATTAAGTTGTTTGAAAAATATTGTGCATAGATGTTCCAAGTTAATCGTTGGACTAACTTTATTTTTGTTAACATAATATTTTCAGACTGATCTCATATGACAATCGAATGTAAACGACCTTCATATTCTGCAGTTAAGGCTCAATTAGATGCATATCGTTTGGCGAATCTAGTGCCTAGTGAGGTAGAAATTACATTGCCGAAAGTTGCTGAAAAATCTGTTGGCGGTGCTCCTACAAAAGAATCAACTAAAGTAATATGGTTATCACTTGTTTTGATGCATAATCGAAAGAGGTATTCAAACAATGTACTCATTGCTTATAAACATGGTACAAATTTCACGCTTGAATAGTGGTGATGATAACTAGTAATTATTAAGTTTTAATCTGTTTGGTGGCTAGTAGTGGAATCCAAGATACACGTTTCATCCTATTTGGGACTCGTCAGCTGGATGTATCTGCACCCCAGTGATTTTTGTTTCCATTGAGACTCGAACCCAGTGCCCATGACTTTGGTCGCCAGAGCGTTCTTCACTGAGCCATTGAGGAAAAAGGAAAAATTATATTTAAACTATCCGGATTAACTTTGGTCGATAGACTAACTTATGTATCCAGGATCGGTTGGATCATTTAAATTACTGGTTCAACGTTGTACTGAAACCTGTTCGGTAACTGCTGTTACTTCAATCCTTATTTAAACTCTGTGATACGAATCTAATTAAAAACTAGTCATCAGTAGGGTCACATAGTCTTAGTTGTTGGAACAATGAAAGAGTAATTCAGAGTTCAATCGTTCAAATGACGTATATTCACTGAGAATTTTTATCAATATTAATCACCTGCAGATGTACTAGAAAAAATGTGAGCTTGAAAAACATAAGTTCAGCGCAGTAATTTTTTGTGCTGCAGTAGATAAGTCTGAGTATCATTTTCAGATAAAAAGAAAATAACGGCCTGTTATATTAAGACAATTTCATACTGAATCAGTCACTCAAATAAGTTTTCTACATTGGTATCCTAAAGGTTTTCGATAGTTATATGATTCTCATAGACATTTATGCCTACTTCAGACAAAGCTCTGAATTTCTATGTGAAAGAAATTCCCAACTGCTTATTTTCTTTAAAGTCTCCATTATATATTCTGTTACCTTGGTAATTAGTAGGCAAATCCTGATAGTTACTGTTGGCGGTTAGCCAGGGGATTAAGACTGCACTTATTACCTATTTCCGCTGTCTGTTGATGTACATTTGCTAAGTAGTGTCACCATTCCTACATTAACTCGAGCTTGGCATGTAGTACTTCTAGCATCAGATTTTATCTACTACGGCACTAAGTAACACAACGAACTAAAATCTCCAAAAATGGTCATGTCGGGCCGATCTCAAGCAGATATCCTTTGGACTGTGGTGTTGCACAAAACTAGTCCACTTCACAAAAACATCAACTTCCACTGCATAAGCAGTTAAAAAGTACCAACCGCCTACACACTCAGCGATGTTCAAAACGCATCTAACTGTAGCTTCTCCTTCACTGCTTCTTTTTGTCACTAGTATGAAGCCCCTTACAATCCTTTCAACTTCTTACCTTATCACGATTTCTAGCTACCCGAACCTGCTAAGCACCATTTCTGATGACCCCACGCTAGAGCTTACGACATCCGAACCCTATTGTAAACCGGACAACTGGTCTCGCTTATTAAAACTTTGGAATCTTGGACCATTGATGTACCTTGTGTTGCTGTGACAAACCTATAATATTCAGATATGGTTATCCACTTGACCTTACCCGACAAATGCAGTGAATCTGCTGAATTCAATTTGTGAGTGTTCGGTTTTTCGATGGCTACTTTCCGTGACCTCACTAGTGTATGCCATTAAGTTGTAGAGCAGAAAGCTCACTGCTCAACTGGATATCAGTGAACAGCCGTCTATGTACTGTTGGGTTGAACGGATCTGCAAGGGCTAAAAAACGGACACTTGTTGATGCCTATTTGTTGTCTTTTCATTCACTGCACTGTCCACTTTCGTGCAGTGGACAACGAACCACACCTCTTGTGTTGGCGCTAATGATACTACCAGACTGCTCAAACCTAAGTAGGTGGAGCGTTTTTCGAACGTGTGAACTATCGGTTGAATATCACCTTTCTAAGCCAATGGATCACAGCTCCACTCTCTGCATTCACACTCACCAACTTTGGGTTGGATGATACTAAGAATGATGTCTGTCAGAAGCTGTCACGTTTCCTGCTTAAAGGAAAACCATTAGATCCAGTCATAGTGTTCGGTGACTTCAACTATCAAGTAGGGCGGCTTAGCCGATCAGAAAGGCAACTTAGTCTTCTATACAGTACAATTCCATCATAGTTACATTTTGTATGTAACACTGATAATCATAAGAGGAGAAATATAACAAAACTATACACTGCCACAGTAACCAAATCATGCTCTTATTTCATCTACGGTAACCTCACCTGGTTAACTAGTTCACTAGTTACTAGCTGGTCCTAAGCCCGGGTAAAGAGGGAAGGTTGGGCATAGGGCCAGCAACCCTACCCCGTAAAACAAATCTAACCGCTAAAGAAAATTCACAGCACAAACGAAATATAAAAAATAATAAACTTATTCCTCACTGGAATCGGAGAGGCGAAGTGACGCCAGTTGGTGAAAGCCTTCGGGAAGCCAATTGACCCGGCCGATGTGTCTTCTCTCCCTCGATGAAAGCGAAAGTAAACATAACGACATGGAATGTCCGCACGATGTTTGAACCCAGCAGGGCAGCCCAGATTGCAAACGAGATGAAGAGGTATCACATTGAAGTGCTTGGAATTTGCGAAACCAGGTGGAATGGAAGTGGACTCTCCAAACTGTCAACTGGAGAAGAGAGTCAATAATCTACTCCGATATTGTCACCCAGACGACAACCACGAGCACACTGAGTTCTCCAGTGGCTATCATGATGTCCTCAACAGCATGGAAGGCTCTCATGCAGTGGGAACCAATCTCCTCCTGCAGGATCATGACAGCAAGGTTCAACTCAAAAGGAAGGAAGGTCACAATCATACAATGCTATGCACCTACAAATAATGCAGAGCAAGAGAAAAAGGAGGAATTCTACAGACAACTTCAATCAACACTGGACAAGACCCTACTTCAGTTGGCGATATCAAAATTCTAATGGGCGACATGAATGCCAAACTGGGAGGGGACAACACAGGAAGAGAACTGACCATGGGTCGAGAAGCGCTCGGTGAGGTGATGAACGAGAATGGAGAATTGTTTGCAGAATTCTGTGCATTCAACGATTTGGTAATTGGAGGCCAGGCAGTGTGTTCAAGCACAAGGATATCCACAAAGCGAGCGACATGGATTTCACCAGATGGACACACTGAAAATCAAATCGACTTTATCTCAATCTCGAGAAAATGGAGACGCAGTCTACTTGATACAAGGTCAAGAAGAGGAGCAGATGTAGGTTCAGACCACTATCTAGTGCAAGGAACCTTCCAAATCAAGTTAAAAGCCTTCAAGGAAGCTGGTGATAGACCGCAGTTCAAGTACAACACTCGGAAACTGAAGGATGAAACTACAAATGACATCCTCACGTAAGTCAGTGATCAAGACAAAATGGGATATATCGAGGAACATCCCTGAAGAAACCTGTGTAGAAGAACACTGGAAGTCTTTGAAAGAGATGTGGAAAGAAACCTGCACAGCCGTATTAGGAAGGAAGAAGAAAGAAGATAAGGAATGGATCTCAATGGATACCTGGAAGCTGATAGAGGAGAGGAGGATGGTGAAGCAGAAGATAAACTAGTGCAAGGATGCTCAACGACAAGAGGAACTGAGCATAATGTATAAAACACTGGACAAAGGAGTGAAGAAGAGTGCACGGAAATACAAAAGACACTTCTACGAAACACTGGCAAGTGAAGCAGAACAGGCTGCAGGTAAGAGAGACCTGATGACATTGTATCAAATAACCAGGTTGCTATCTGGGAAGAGATCAACGCAGACGAAACCAATAAGAGATGATGACGGGAGTTTAATTACGAAAGAAGAAGAACAAAGGAAAAAATGGGCCAACCACTTCAAGAAGCTCTTGAACCGACCACCACCTGCACTTCATCCAGAAATACCACCTACAGCCACTGAACTACAAGTGAACATAAATTCTCTAACAAAAGTGGAAGTCCTGAACGCCATAAAGCTACTGAAATGCGGGAAAGCGGCAGGACCAGATGGGATCCCGCCAGAAGCACTGAAAACACACGCAGAGACAACAACGGACATGCTCACACCACACCACTATTGCAGAAGGTGTGGAAGGAAGAGAAGGTACCTGCCTACTGATTGGAAGAAGGGTTACCTTGTCAAAATGCCGAAGAAGGTAGACCTCAGTGTTTGCAAGAACTGGCGCGGATTCACTCTCCTGTCCACCCGGAGCAAGTAAAATATTAAGCCGCATCATCCTGGAGAGGCTAAAGGATGCACTGGATTCAAAACTACGACCGGAACAGACAGGCTGGATTCAGGAAGTACAATTCATGTGCGGATCAAATTGCAACGCTTCGCATCATCATAGAACAGAGTATAGAATGGCAGTCAACTCTCTACCTCAACTTCATCGACTTTGAGAAGGCTTTTGACAGCGTCGACCGAGAGGTAATTTGGAAACTGCTTCAATACTACGGAATACTGCAAACCTTTATCAATCTCATTCAACAACTATATGAAGACACCACATGCCAAGTAATTCACAATGGGAAGCTCAGTGATGCTTTTGAAGTGAAGACAGGAGTGAAACAAGGTTGCCTACTATCCCCCATGATATTCCTGATTGTGATCGACTGGATCATGCAGCAAACAGTGAGGAGCGAGAAGAGGGGGGATACAATGGCTGGACTGCGGAAAAGAACCTAGAAGACTTGGATTTCGCCAGTGATGACTTGTGTCTGATGTCACACAAACTTGAAGATCTACAGGCGAAAACTAACAGGTTGACAGAAGAGGTAAGGCAAGGCAGCGAAGACGGGACTTCAGGTGAATATAGAGAAGACAGAGGTGATGAAGATACCGCACCACCAACGGGAGAAACTTAAAGGAAGTAACCTCCTTCACCTATCTAGGAAGCACTGTTTCAACTACAGGCGGCGTAGACGAGGATGTCAAAGTCAGAATCGGAAAAGCAAGACAGGCGTTCATTAGCCTGAAACCAGTGTGGAGATCTGCACTCAGCATGTGGAACAAGATCCGG